CTTTGCCAGTCAGATCTCTCTGTGAATGTCACTTCCTTAGGTTGCTTGTCCCTGAAAACCACCGCATCTAAAGAAGACATCAGTCACTCTCTAATACAAACTCTCCGTTTTAGGTTTTTCTATAAAACATCAATATTTGATTTTTTATTGCAAATTTTAAAAATTGTAGGTTGGGCATGGTGGCTCACGCCTGTAATCCCAGCACTTTGGGAGGCTGAGGCAGGTCAATCACGAGGTCAGGAGTTCAAGACCAGCTGGGCCAACATGGTAAAACCCCATCTCTACTAAAAATACAAAAATTAGCTGCCTGTAATCCCAGCTACTTGGGAGGCTGAGGCAGGAGAATTGCTCAAACCCGGGAGGTGGAGGTTGCAGTGAGCTGAGATCATGCCACTGGACTCCAGCCTGGGTGGCAGAGCAAGACTCTATCTCAAAAAAAAAAAAAAAAAAAAAAATTGTGCACCTGCCACACCAAGGTGGGTGAGCCCCAGGAGGGTGAGAACCTTAGACATCTTGTTTGTTGCTGTATCCCAAATGTGCAGAACAATGCCAAGCTTTTAAGAAATATTTGTTGAATCCGTGAATGAGGATCCTGAGGATTTTGAAGGGACATTGCTTTCCAGTGGATAACTGGAAAGACTTGTCTGAGAAGAGGCTGAGAAAATTATATGCAGAGTGACCTGTGATAACTGATATCCAAAAACAAAATTTTCTTACAAAACCCCAATATTTTAAGAATAAAAACTTTTATTCTCATTTTTTTATATAAAGTTTTATTTCCAGATTATTTAGAAATTAGAGAAGATAAAAAAAATGTGTATCCCAGCCTATTCTGAATCCAACTGGGAAGATATTGCATTAAAAGGGTCCCACCAGCTTGACATAATATTTTGATTGGAGGTCACTTCTGGGACTAACCTCTGTGGAGCACCTTTTCCTGGCGGACTCTGTGATGAGGGTTACTGTACAGCTGAGAAGCAATCTGTCACACTGCGGGTGGAAGGGAACCTTAAGCACAGTCTCACCACAGTTCCTTGGTGTACCTACCGATGGGGAAATTGAGGCCAAGAGAGGGGAGGAGAGAAGTTCACTGAGGTCCCAGAGCTAGCCAGTGACAGAGCTGGAAGTGGCCCTGCCTCTGACTCCTGCTTCATGGGGCTTTCCATCACGGTCCCCTCACCACCTGGCTTGCCACAGTCCTCTCCTCCTCTTCAGTGATGTGTCTCCTGCAGTGGTTCACCTATGTCCTGAAATGAAGAGGGAAATTTATCCCAAAGCAAGCACTGTAGGAACTGCACATTTTTAAGAAAAGTTGTCTCCTTAGATATGGGTACCAAGGGAAGGGGCAAGGCCTGAGGGGAGATGAGAGGTAAGAACAGTCCCGGGACAGTAGAACACATCATTCTCAGGTGCTGGGGTGAGTGCACAAGAGGGGTGAATAGTTCTATAGGAACTTTCCAGGCCGTTGAGTCTATGAACTTTGTTGCAGTTTGACAATTTGGAGAGGGCTTTACTGCTGTTACTGGGAGTGGCTCCTTGGCTAAGATCCCAGCAAGTTAGGATATTGCTTTGCTATTCTTACGTGTGGCCATCTTGGTAAAATATTTTCAATTTCTATAGCAGCAACCCATGAGCAGTTGCAGGATTTGGGAGGACTCCACAGTCTTAATTCCTCTGCTTGGGACACTTGTCCTTTTCAGGTTTCTGTTGTTGTCTCTCCTCACTTATTTTTAATTTATTTATTTACTTTTAGGTAGGTAAGTATGAATACATACAAATGAAGTAGGAAGAACAGGTATAATAAATTCCATCTACTTAGCTTCCACATTATTGACTTTTTCTTGGTTTTCTTAGCAAAGGATTTTCCTGAAAATTGCTCAGTTTTTAAAATGGTAAGCAAATTTTCCTTAGGTACTGTAAACCAGGAGTGCCTCCTTGTGTTGCAGCTGGGGAAGATGAGGTGGTAATTGAAAAACTCCATTGGCCAGGTGCGGTAACTCATGCCTGTAATCCCAGCACTTTGGGAAGCTGAGGCAGGCAGATCACCTGAGGTCAAGAGTTCAAGATGAGCCTGGCCAACGTAGTGAAACCCTGTCTTTACTAAAAATTCAAAAATTAGCTAGGCATGGTGGCAGGTGCCTGTAATCCCAGCTACTCAGTAGGCTGAGACAGGAGAATTGCTTGAACCTGGGAGGCGGAGGTTGCAGTGAGCCAAGATTGCACCACTACACTCCAGCCTGGGTGACAGAGCAAGACTCCATCTCAAAAAAAAAAAAAAAAAAA